CTGAGGCTTTAAGGAAGCAGGCAGGTCCCCAAGACAATAGTTTCTCCTGAAAATAGACAATTTCAACCCACCTGGCTCAGTGCAATAAGATGTCATCAGTTCCTCCACTTACCAGCCTGGCCTGGGTCCCTGTGTGTCACTGACATTGCCCGGGGAAAGCTATCAACCCAGCCTTGGAAGTATAGGGACTGTCTTCCTTAACTTGGCTCAGTCTCGACAGTACAAACCCAGAGCCAGAACCCAAAGCCTGACTCCTGTCTTGGTCTCCTGCTTACTGGGGAACTTTAGCACGATGGACCATGGTTCTGTGCCTTGGTTTCCTGATTTGTGAAAAGCACATGATGTTAATGATCCCCTGCTGGGAGGTGATGGATATAAAAGAAGCTTGTGGAAGGATTAAGGTGGAATGGGATGTAGGTCACAGGGCTCACCTGATCTGTATAGATGGCTCTTTCCAAGCTTGCTCCTGGCTTCCAGCTGGTTCACTCTAAAACTAAAGGATGCATCTCTAAAGGAGGACAGGGAGCACTTGCCAGGGAATCATCAGGGTGGCTTCTCTCATACAGGTTCTTGAAGCAGCAGATCTGGACCAGGCCAGGAACCGCTCTCTGTTCCATTTTTTTCCTTCTAGACCCTCTCTGGGTGTTGCTCCCGTGGATTAGGTATGACAAGGGGACTGTAGCCTGCAGGAAAAAACCCTCCCAGCTTCACTATGAGCTTATGACAGGGATCATGCGCTCCCCGAGTCTGCCAGGGGACTTCACATTTGGCGCCCTGTGTCCCACACAGAGCCGGTGCACTACATGGCTCAAGAATGATCAGGTAAATCAGGTGACAGTGAGATGTGTGGGAAAGGTTCAAGGCCCAGGCACCTGGCACACTTTAGGAATAAGCCGTTGGAACGGCTTTGGTTTCTTACAGGTAAGAATTTCAAGATTAAGGAGATATAATTAACCCCTTTTAAAGAACTCCAGAGGATTTGGCTTTCTGAAATACTTATGTTCATCTCTGCCTTTTAAAGCCAAATACATGCAACACTTTAAGCTCTTCTTCCTAAAGTCACTAGTATGGACATAATGTCACCATGTGAGTGGCTGTTCTGGTGCAGGGCTATATACTGGGCACCACACTGTAGCATGTGGATTTGAGTTCTCAGGGCTGGCCAGCTTGTGTCTCTTGCCCCAAGCGCTTCTGCTGCCAACATCTAATCTTCCTTTCCGCATGTAATGTGTTGTAAGCTTGAAAATCAGAGAGATGTTAGAGATCGGTGAGAGGATGAGGTAGGATCAGCATGAGGGGTCCTGGAGACCTCCTAGGGCAGCAAGCAGGGATTTCATCTTATGCTCTATATGACAGTTTCACCTACCCAGGGGCAATCATGTCTTTTTTTATGAGAGCTGCTGGCTAGCTGGGGTCCAGGTGGGGGTCCTGGCTGTGGGTTTTAACCTCTCCACCCACCCTCACACAATGCCTACTTCTAACCAATCATTTAAAACCAGCCGACACATCTCCCTGACTTCACCAGTGTAGTAACAGTGTCCCCACTTAGTAATGAGTCATCTCCCCCTAGTGTTACAAGAATGTATAGAAAAGGTACCTGAAAACCCAAACTCTCTTTACAGAACACTCATGGGCACAGTCAGGGTTTTAGTTCAATTCTTGGGTCATCTTCTACCAATCTGTCCAAGATAGTCAATGTTCCACCAATTCTGAAGTTGAGTTTTAAGCCTAGAAAATCACCTGTGTTTAAAATAAACAAACATTCCCTGGTCAGACTTTCATTCTCTACCAAAACCAACACCAGCTCAGATTTGGGAAGCACATGGGTAGCATGTATGGAAAAAAAATGATGCCCAGGGGTCTGGAGCAGAGGCCAGCTCTAAAGAACAGGCAGTGAGCCAAGGCCCTGGAGCAGACTGGGTAGGACCAACTGGCAGGCTGCAGAAGGGCCCTGACTGGCAGGTGGGTTGTGGCCAGGGTCCATGCTAGGTCCCCTCCAGCAGCCTCCGGGACCACAGCAGGACTTGTCACAATGCAGGGACGAGGGCTCCCATGCAAAGGCTGGAGCAGCCTCAAACAGTGAGCTGGAGCATGAGCTTAGGGAACGTTGCCTGGTGGTTTCTTGACATTTATGGCTTGTAGGCTTTGGGTTGAATCTATACTTAGAACTTTGATCCTATGTGAATTCTTCACTGCTGTCTAAATGCTGATTATGACCATCCAGTAATCACAGCAAACTTGAGAAAAGATGATGTAACTCCCGTCACCCAACTGGCAGGGTGGGGCAGACACTTGTTAATGTACACTCTCATGCAACTGTCCATATGGCCATTGCCAGTGAGTCCCAGCAATCCCAGTGCTCACAGCCCTGGTTACTGGGTCCTTTCTCCTCACTTACAATGGTAGCTTAAAATCCAAATCTTTTGTTTTTGTATGGAGTCCAGGGGGCCTTGAACTCATTGCAATTCTCCTGCCTCAGCTTCCTGAATGCTGAGACAAGTGGGCTGTGTGCCTGGCTTTGCTAGATGCTCAATAAAAAATTCACCATTTGTCTTCTCTAAAACTTGTTCTTCCTTGATCCAACTAGTGAGGGGACACACCCCCGGGCTCTCGTGTTCACCCGGCACAGGGAACAGGAAGCTAATTCTTCCAACTCAGTAGCCATAAGGGAGGTGGCTTTTTACCCTACAACTCCTCCCCAGTGACTCTCCTGGGTCAATACAGGAACCAACTCTGCCCAGCAGGCAGCTTACACAGCTCCCTGCATCCCAAGAGTGATGAAAGCAGAGGGTGTGGGAAGGAGCCAAGCAGGTCAGGAGGGGGTGACAGCGAGCTGGCCCAGGCTCCCAGGCCCAGGAGCCCCCTGGGGAGGCAGGTGCTACATCCAGAGCAGAGGGGAAGTGCTTGGGACCTCGGCCCACTGCCAGGAAGGGACAGGGGAAGGGAATGTGAGTAGGAGCCAGCCAGCCAGACACATGTACACTGTAACCGAGTTCAAGGATCAGAGACATACTTTTTTACTAAGGTATTTACTAGATGAAATACTGGTTCTTTTAAAGGTATATAAAAATTCACATTAAGTTAAAGAGATAGAGTGGGAGTTCATCCTCTGGCATATGATTCAGTAGTTCTTCTCTTTCTTTGCAGCTGGAGTCCTCTCAGGCTGACATTTAAAAGGCAAAATCTGGAAAGAAAAACCAATGAGGAATCACTGGAAAAGTTTGATCAAATAGTATCAAACAGGCCAGGTATGTTGGCTGGTGGCGTACATTTCTAATTCTAGCACTTGGGAGGCTGAGGCAGGGGGAGTGCCACAAGTTCAAGGCCAGCCTAAACGGTGAAACCTTATCTCAAAACAAAAGAAAAAAGTAGTAGCCAACACCTTACTTGCTTAACATTAACCCTATATTTGAGTGTTGAGACCTAACAAAGGGAAACCACGAGTTTATCTATTAACTTAAGTATTTTTAAAGTACAATTTTCCTTCCACCTGGAAATCCCTTCTGGATGAAGCAGGGCTCCGGTCTCCTTGCAGGAAGCTCCGCTATGCAAGCGGCCACCTTACACCACTGACCCTGTCCCCGGACATCCGCAGGACGAAAAGAGGCATTTATGATCTCGCACCCGATCCTCCAATCTTCTTCGGTTTAATTCACAAAACCATCACTCCGTCTGGAAGATCAATCCAATCGATGATATTTCAGGTACAACTGCTGCCCCTGCCCCTCTCAATTTCTCAGCTGCTCCTCTTCCCTTACCCCTGCACTTACTGCTGAGTTTTGGTCAATGAATCACTTTTTGAAGGGCAAGATCCAGTGGCAGTAACTTCTTCTGGCTGGGAAAAGACCACAGCTCACTGAGGACCAGCGTGCAGTGGCAGGTGCCGGGGGAGTAGGTGACAGAGCGGACAGGCTTCTATCAGCTCACTTTTGTGTATTCTAGAAGACACTGCAGCTGAAGGCCAGGCATAGAGACTACGTGTTTGACCTGGTTTCCATTCTTGGTGTCGCTCTTTGCCACTGCTGTAGGAGTTGTTCTTTTACCATGACACGTATGAGATTGTCAAGACCGAAGTGACACAGCAGGGTGGGAAAACACCTTGCAAAGCACCTACTACAGATCCTTCATTCGGGGAGCACAGACCTCAGCATGGGTGGAGCTTTGGAGCCACGGGACCGGAGTTTCCCACACCTGTTGCAGAGGTGGCAGACTCAGCTACGGTGGTTTTCAAAAAACAGGAGCCCAGACCCAACTGTGTTTCTCAAAACATCCCAGACAATTCTGATCCTTAGCCAGGTTTCAGAAGCACTGAGCTGGGCCTCTCTGCCCAATGAATCCTTTCATTTTTAGAGAGGCACAGAATTCACAGATAACTGAAAACACTGCAGGGACACCCTGGGATCAAGGAAACAGCATGTTCACGTGCAACAGGGCCTTAGTAACAGCTCCCCAGAGCCTTGAGGCTTGAGCCCCACAGCGAGCTCTGGGCCTTAGATGCGCAATGAGGCAGGCACTGACCACAGGGATGTCTGGGGAGGGGACAGTCGGGAAGGGGCAGTGAGGCCAGGACGTAGACAAGGCTTGAGTCACTGTGGCTCAGGAACAGCCTGAGGGAGCGTAGGAGCAGGTAGGAAGCAGCAGATGAGGTCTGGGTTACAACAGGTCAGGAAGGGATCTGTTTGTCACATCAAAGACACATTGAGTCCTTCACCTCAGGGCTTCCAATGACCACTGCCTCCTTCCCGCCCACATCCCTGAGTTACCACACAAGCTCAGGTATTTTTAATAGGAGAAGGAGGCCGCAGCTGTAGTTATCTGCTCCAGAGCCCTGAGACCCGCTCCATGAAGAACCTCTGTCCATGCAGAGCACAGGGGCCAAATTCCGGGTACCATGGCAGAGCAGCAGGCAGGACCCCGAGCCCTACCTCAAGCCCAGTGACCAGCCTGCCCCAACCCGCCAGGCAGCTCTCGTTCGCAAAGCCTGCGAACCTTCTATTCCCTTTGGCTCTCCTTCTTCTCTCACTGCGTCTTCTTTTCCACCTCCAGTTTTTGCTGCTTTGCTTCCAGTCTCTTCCTTTGGTACATTTTCACTGCAGCAAATGCCAGGCAGAAAATCAGCGTCTTGGCTGCCAAGATATACAGCAGCAGGGGCACATGATCGAGGACCTTCAAGAAAAAAGAACCCCTGAGTGTTCTACAGGTGACACGGCATGTTTCTTTCGTGTTCCTTCATCCCACAAATATTTACTAGGCACGAAGCCAGGTGCTGGGGCTACACCTGGGACCAAGCAGACAAGGACCTGTCCCATGTCACCCGCTGCTCTGCTCATCACCCCTTTGCTTCTGGCTTTATGGGAGGGAACAGCATCAACTCCAGATATAACAAGTGGTCTCTCACAGCTTAATGAGATTTGCGGACCACGAGCCTGTGCCCTGCTTCTGGACAACTGCAAGCTCCAGGGAAAGGAGCTGGATCCAGGAGGCTTCCGCCACTCACTCCCACATGACCGTGATGGTCACTGCACCTTTTGGAGCTTCTGCCTCATTCCCTGTGTGTGAGGCTGGGCCACATTGCCTCTTTAGTACACTGCCACTTTCTCTTGGTTCATTGGCACTAGTGCTGGAAGGAAAAGCAAAATACAGTAAAACTCAAAACGTTAAAACTCAACCCTTGTTAACTGTCCCTGCAATTTCCTGTTGGGAAAATTTGTAACCCACTGCCTAAAAGGACGTCTGTGGAAAAATGGTTTCTACACTAGCCAGTTCTATCAGGGACGTGTACATATCACAACTGTATCTCAAAGCAAATACAGGTAGGACTTAATGAAATCATTGGGTTCAATTGCCTAATCACTTATTATATGTAATACCAATAAAAAGAGATTTTTCTCCCTGGAAGACACTGGAACCAAGCTTGCCCTACCAGTTTATCTCAGGTCAATTCAAAACTAGCTAGTGAAGGCATTAGCTCACACAGCCGGAAGGCTGGAAGACTTGGATGCTCTAGGCCACCACTCTGTTTTTTATTTTCCCCCCTCATGGTACTGGGGAATGAATCTAGAGCATTCACACTGAGCTACATCCCTACTCCTTTCTATTTTTATGTGGAGGGTGGGCTGTCTAGGGTGGACTCGAGCTTACAATCCTCTTGCCTCGGCCTCCTAGAATGCTGGATTACAGCCATGTGTCACCATACCCAGCTTCTCCTCACTTCTCAAACAAGCAAAGCAAGGCTCCTGGAGGTTGAGAGGCCCACCTGTGTCATGAGGCTCATCCGTGATGTGGCCAAGGGTCCAGGGGGACATTCTAACCCTTAGCAAGCTCCTTCCCACTAATTTTTGATTCTCAGTGAAATGGAGGTAATGGAACCACAACCTATACAACCGACATGTGCCTACAATATCACTGAACTTCATTGATTTAGACTTGGAAGTGGATTTCATGTATGAAACAGCATCAGAGCGGCCATATACTGGGCACTTCCTGTGCACTTAGGAATCCCATGTGGCTGTTTCCCTACATCCTCATTCTCATCCTACTGAGCCCCATGGGGCGCACACACACCGCAGGGGAAGGTTAGCAACCACTGAGGTGGGGTCTGACTCTTCGTCACAGAGTCACCCACTAACAGGTGTCCGCTTTACCATTTAATTGTGCAAATCAACAATGGATTGGCTCCTGAATTTACCAAAGGCAGCTGAACTCACACCTCTGAAGTTACCTATGTGTGGCCACCTGAAAAAGGTTGCACTGTGATACGGTAAGACTATAAAGACTATAAAGGGGCAGGCAGACTCCAATTATCCAGATTGTTTTGATTGAACTGAAATAGGAAGAACATTCAGTAGCTTGGGAAGTTTTCAACCACTAAATCATTTTAACAGCAAAGAATAAACATGATGTATGGACTTAAAGTGATACTGACAGTAATAAAAAGTATACACGTTACAGAAGCAAAGCTTCTGTAAACAGAACAGCTCAGCCTGCTGGTCTGGCTGCCAGACTCCTGTTCCCAGGCCTGTGGCTAAGCCCCCTGTCAATGGGGCCTCTTTCCTTCTGATTTCTCGAAGGTTCATATTACAGAGGCGAAGGTCTAACTCCAAGTCAGCCAAGAGGAGGACGTGCCATGGGTATTCTAGGCTGGCCACAGCACTGTCTCCTATGGGAATCAGCTGCTCTTTTCAGGCTTCTACATCTCTGTACATGAGTCACTGAGGACCGAGCAGGAAAACCCACCACTCTCGGTGACCTAAACCTAAAACTCAGCGGCAGCAGTTGCAAGAACAAACTATCCAAACTAGAAGTTGGAAAGCCCATTGAAAAGGACATGGAAGGTACACAGGCAAATGACTTCAATATTTACTTCCTATTATAGGAAGCAGAGAGGAGAGGGCAAGAGGTAGAAGTTTCTGGACTGGGAGAGGCAGCAAAGGTCAAGAACCCTAAAGGGCCAAGGTAAGGGCCCGGGGCTCCTTTCCTGTCCTTTGCCAGACGACTTTGCCGCTGTGTCCCAACTCTCTTCTGACTTCCTTCTACCAAAACACTTCCACCTCTCAAAGCATGCAGACCACTGGGGTACAGCTCAGCGGCACAGCGCCTGCCTGGCAAGGAGTCTGCTCTGAGTGGCAATGACTCTTTCTGGGCTTGGGGGGGATCCTCCTTGCAATAAGTAGCCTTCTAGGTGTTCTGAACAAAGAAGTGCTCATAATCATTGAAAAAATACAGTAAGATCCCTCACTTGACAAATACATCCCACTCCCATATATGGAAAAAATGCTGGGAGAAACTACACCAAGCTCATGAGCGGCAGCCATCCCTGGAGAGTGACATGATGTGTGACTTCTGTTTGAGCTTACTCTGAGCAAGGTGGCTACACTAAACATTTCTTTTAGTGGCTGCTCTCTTGACCAATCACCTCACGCTGCTGGTTTCTGTGATTTAAACGGTGAGCTCTCTCCCCTGTCCAAGTGTACTGACCCACAGCTCTCTGTGGGCCTATCCTCTGGTTGCCCTTCAACCTCTTTTCCCATCAACTAAACCAAACACTTTACAGGAGCCACTGTGTTTAATCCCCAGCCAGCTCAAGGTGCACTTGATGCTCCTTTGGTAGTTTACTTATGACTTACAAGAGAGTTGTTCCCATGAAAAGTAAGTTGAATGCTTTGCAAGACTTAAGCTTGAATAGGGGGCAGGGCAGGCTGTTGCAAGAAAACTATAAAAGACTAGAGAAGAGGGTCATAAACATATGGAAAGTTTTCTGTGTAGGTCACTTCATAAGATCTATAGATCTCTGTCTTAGTCAATCCAGGTTATTATAACGAAATACCATAAACAGCTTATAAACAATAAGCATTTATTTTTTGTCATTCTGGAAGGTGGCAGTCTGAGATACACCACAGCTGGGTTCTGGAAAGGGGCCCCTTCCAGGCTGCAGACTCCTTATATTCTCACACGGCAGAACAAGGATGAGAGAGAAGCTCTCTGGGGTCTCTTCTGTAACAGCACTAATCCCATACTTGAGGGATCTGTCCTCCGATCTAGTTGGTTCTGCCAGGATCCTCCTCCAAATACCACCACACTGGGGTAAGGGTTCTAACATATAAATGGAGGGGAACACAAACATCTGCACATTATATTAAAGGAACCAAAATGTGAAACTTTAAAGGTATGTTTTTTTGCAAGAAAGAGACTGATCTCAAGTTAGAGGATATGCAAAGAAAGGCCTGGCCTTCCTCCAGAAGTCTGATGAATAAATGTACATTAATGTGTTTTTACTTAAAAGAATAACACAATAAAATATACTATGCTTTCATCTCTTTCTTTGATAATTAATCTGCTTCTACAGACCTGTTAGTCTTCATTTTGACAACTGAGTGCTGTGATTCAGAAGCGGAATGTTTCCTAAGGTCCCCGTGTTACAGGATTGGTCCTCAGGGTGGCGCTCTTGGGAGATGCTGCAGACCCTGAGGAGGAAGTCTAGGTCGCTAGGGTGCTACCTTGAAGGGAACTGTAGGATCCTAATCTGTTCTCTTGTGCTTCTTTGCTCCATCACATCTCCCTGGCCCTGTCACTGGGCACCGCCCCCACTATCTCAAAGCAACAACTGTGCCATCTTAGACCAAAATCTCCAAAACCAGGAGCTTAATAAAACCCTTTTCCTTACAAGGAAATTATCAGAGGTATTTCATTACAATGACTAAAAGCTGACGAATATAAGGAGAAAACAAAAAAAACAAACCATCATTGTTTAAAACTATTCTCACCTTCCAGTTCATGATGTACAACCTGTGAGTTCACTTGTGATCAATGTCACCCTCCCAGTCAGGTGCATGAGAGGGAGCTGGGATGGCAGGTCCTCGAGATCGCCAAGATCTGCTCTGGGGGAACAGAGGGGAGAAAAGAAGCAGGTCAACTTGGATGTCCAGGGCAGACCACCTTAGGAGGATGTGCCTTTGATAGAGGCAGGCATGGCAGCAGTAATGGCAGGCTCTGCAGAAAAGCAGGTGGTGAGTCTTTAACAAGGTGACCCAGGTCACCCCAAGGGTGGGGTGAGGACTCTCTCTCTCTCTGCAGCTGCCAGCTATTCCTGAGGGATATGTGCTCCCTCCCACCATTAAGAGCCCATGCCCAAAACTCACTCCACCATGTCCTGGCCTAAACGGGCACAGGTTCAGGGATGAATGTCTTTGTTTCTCAGGACCTCTGCTAACTGACCTCTGCTATCTTCGATATTTTAAAAGTTATCAGAAGGGAAGGCAGTAGATGATAGAGAAAATATTCCTAAGAAAGCAATTCATACCTAAAATATTTCCCTCTAAAGGATGACAGAAGGTAAGGCTGAAAATGACAGGGAGTGACATAGCCTGAGCATAGGACTTGCTCTGGGGCCTTAAAGGGTATGTCACTACTCTTAGGGCATGACATATACCCCTGGGGAGCCAGAAAACAAGCTCTGGATGAAAAACTTACACACTTTGGTAAATGACTCCCTTCTGAGTCCTCAGGGCCACCTGGAAGTGAGGGAGGGAGGGAGGTGCCAACAGATGCGCTCTAGGGTCCCTGTTTTTTCTCAAATTTAATGACGTATAGCATAATAATCACAGCTTACCTTTATTGTACCAGGCTGCACACATACTTCATTTAGTCTTTTTAAGAGCCTATGGGGTATAATTGACTATCTTTGCTTTATAGATGAGGACAGAATGTTTAAATAACATATCGGGGTCTCCCAAGTAACAACTCAGCTCCATGCCGTCTGGCTCCAGAGCCTTACTCTCGGTGCTATCCTGATCCAGGCCGAGAGCTCTGCTCTCAAACCCATGAGCTGCTTGTCTTTAAAAGCACTTACTATTAGAAGAAGAAAAGCAGCAGAAATTATCACAGACCTTTGGGAGGAGGACATGAACTTCAGGGAAGAACTCTGAATCACAAAAACATCTAAACATCAAAAGTCCCTACCTCATTTATTCAAGATCACAGTGACTTGAAAGCCAGTTAACAGCTGGTACAAGATAACCAAGTTTTCCCTGTGACTTCTGCAAAGTCAAATAAGCTAATGATAAGAATTTGAAACACAGTACTGTTTACATGTGCTCACTGTGATTAAGTGTGCTCATTAACTTCATGTATAAATGGCCCGCTCACTAAGCAGCAGCAGATTCTGACCCCCACTGCAAACATGTGTTCCTGAGATGTTATAATCTATCGCTAGAATTTTAACACTGACCAATCTCTAAAAATGTTACGGACTGTCTATATTGTACATTAAAGTGAAATGGTTTTAAGTTCTTTAAAATTTATTTTTACAATTCCTGCTTTGAGTAGTGTACAAAGACAGTAGGTTAGATAGCTGCTTCCCACAAATTTTCTAAGGATAAAACAGATACCCCATGAACTGATACATGTAGAGAATATTGAATCCCAAGGTCAAGGAAAGCAAAATAGTTCCACACAGCTTATAGGAGAAAATGAATGAAAACAAAATAAAACACTCCAAAACAATCCAGGGGTCTGGCCCTCTGGCAGGGATGCATTACTCTTACCAGCAGTGTGACCTTGGACAAAACCCTTGGCTTCTCCAAGCCTCAACTCCCCTGTCTGTAAATTCTTCCTCAGAAGCTGGACTCTACACACAAAGCACCATTTCCAGTACAGAAAGCATTAAATCAACATCAACCATTATCATTAGGATAAATATCTCTCTTCCACTAATGGACATGCTAAGCTTAAGAATACAAACAGGTAGCACCCAGGGCAAAAAGCAGTGATGGAAGAATAGCAGGGCATAGAATAAAGAATAATGAGGACAAGGAGAACTGGAGATCTGGACTCCTTCCTTGTTGATATCAACGGCAATGTACATGACCTGGGGCAAGCCATTAACCCTTTGAACCAGGATCCTCATTTGTGAAATCAGAATCCAGCTGGTCACGGTGGCCCATACCTGCAATCCAGCTCTGAGAGGCTGAGGAAGGAAGACTGCAAGCTTGAGCCCAGCCTGGCCAACATGGCAACTCAGCAAAACCCTATCTCAAAATTTAAAAATAAAATAAAAAAGCGCTGGGGAAGTAGCTCAGTGAAAGGTTCTGAGTTCAATCACCAGTACCAAAAAATCCAAAGAATAGTTCTACAACTCTGACTCATGACTTATCATCCTGTCACAGCCAAAATATACTAGCAGCTGCCTCAACTTCATACCTTGAGTGACAAATTCAAGTTTATTTAAGACAAAAACAGGAAGTCAATCTGCACTTGTAGTGGAAGAGGTGGAACCAGGTTGGAGGCGAAGAAGGCAAATCATTCTGATTAGCCACGGTCACAACTGGAATCACAACTTCTCGCTTTCCCGAAATGATATGCCCAAGTGGGCATTTTCATAGGACACTTGAAGCCTTCTGGAGATGAGAATAAGAAAGCTAAAAATATCAGTAAGCTATTTGCTCTGACATCAATAAGTACACTCAATGTAATGTTAGACAAGCAGCTGGTATCCAAGGGCTGAACTGCAAAAGTCACCAAGATGTGGACAGTTTTGAGGGGCAGTATCTGGGAAGGGCAGGGAATTTTAAACGTCCCTTGGAACTACCTAGTCTTAGCTTCAACCTCAAAAATAGCAAATGGCTTAGATACAACCCCATATATTTCTATTTTTCTAATTTCCTTTATTGCAAAAAAAATCTTGATTTTTGCCTTTGCCAAGTTTCTTTCAGAAACAAAAGCTATTCATTATTATAGGACAACGGATAACACCATGTTCTTCTTGGCATGTCTGATAAACTGAGAGGTCAGTGTACTCGACAAGTTCCTGCCTCCCATCACCCTCACCCTTCCTCTCCAAGTTCTGAAGCTGTGCTCATTTCCAGTCTTTTACACTTCGCCAATCATCTGAACCAGGGATCAATGTGAGCAGGGAGTGGATACATGGTGACCTTTTGGGTAGCACTTGGCCCTCTTTGCTCTGCCCAGGGCCTTCAGGAAATCTGACTCACTTGATCTCTGCTCCTCTGACTTCACATCCCAACCTTTCGGGGATCTGCGGAGGAATGAGGGCCAGAGGTCTGAGCCTTTCTAACCAGCGAGGATACCTGGCCCGGCGAGAACACCTCGGGGAGTAACAGAGCACCCTGGGGCCTCGGCTCTTCTTAGGAGTAATTGGGGGTCCCGCCCACTCCTCTCCCGACCGGTTGACACAAGAAGAGCAACACGCCCCCCACTAAGATGCAAGGCTGAGAGCCTGGGCCTGTCTTCGTGCTCTTCTGCCCTTCCATTCAACAAAGCTTCCAGAACATTCATTCGTCCCCAAGATCGTCCAATCCCCACGCTCTAGCCACCAGCTCTGACCCTGCGCAGACCACGCGCCAGCTCGGAGACAATCCGCCCTCTGGGGTGAGGCCCTGTGATCTGCGACCCAGGACCAGCAGGCGTTGATCCCTGAGAGAAAACGCGAACGCAGGGCTGACCGCCCTATCCCCAGTGCCCCAAAGAAAGTTCGAGGATCCGCTAGCTCCAGTCAAGACGTAATCCACCCACACTTACAAGAGCCCAGCGGCGGAGCCTCTCACACCCGGCCAGCAGGAAAACCACGACTCCCACAATCCTACGGGGGAAACTACAAGTCCCAACGCACCGCTCGGCGCGCCAGCGCAGTGCGGCCCACAGTCGCGCAACGTAAATCGCTTTGTGCGCAGGCGCGGTGGGTGCATGAACTGTGCCTCGCTGTGTGTGGGTGATGTACTCGTGGAAGAGGACCCTCAGTCCTGAGGTGAACTGAGTTTTACTTGGTGCACACGCCTGGAGGTGTGATGTAGGCCGGGCACCGTCATCCAAGCGCTGGGGCGTTCTCTGGGGGCATACGCTCATCCTGAATCCACTGAGGTGCAGGAGGACAGCAGTGAGAAAAGACGTTAGGGAGCCCACAGACCCCCGCGGTGGCTGTTGTGTGCGCCTCGGGACACTCAGATCCCCAGAACTGTCCGAGTTTAGCGTTGGTCTTCTCGCATGACATTTGCATGCATGCGTTTTCCTTTAGGGCAACCTTAGGGCTCCCCAGTGCTAGCCTCCCAGAGTTCTGCATATAGTGAATGCTTAATGAACGCTCGCACAGCGGGGCACAGACAGAACCCATATACAAAAAGAAAGGAAGAAATACATTTGTCACGCGCTCGACTCACCCCTCGGAGGGGAAGGAAACAGGCCTGAAGGAAATTGCAGGGGCAGAATGGTGTTTGTATCCAAGAGCAAACTGAAGGGACGGCATATGGTTCCTTAGAGAGGGAAAAGTAACAAAACTACCTTTGTTATAAAGCGCTTTGAGATTGTTGCCTAATTTGAGTCAAAATAACAAGCCTGTAAAGGACACACAATAACAACCATTTCAGAAACAAGGAAACGGAAACGCAAACAGATATGCTCAGTTTTGAGGTAGCAGGTACCAGAAAGAGCGCTTGAAACCAGGAGCCTGGATCTGGAGTCATCAGATCAGCCCCTACCGTGGGTTCATGTTTAAATACCTGTGGAGCTGTCCTTTAAGAAGTAAGCCTTACTCATGTCTTAGGGAGCCAATAGAACAAATAGGAGGTGCTCTAAAAGCAAACAGCATACAGAAGAAAAATGGGAAGCTGTTTAAATTTGGAATTTTCAAACCAGTCTGGTGGGAGTTGATACTGGGGGGAGAAATTAGAGCAAAAGGTTTCCACAACTATACTGAATATATATGCCTGTGGAGAGTCAGAGTCAGCATTTCAGCCCGGCGTGGTGGCACAGTCCTATAATCCCAGCACTCTGGGAAACTGAGGCAAGACATTGGGAAGTTCAAGCCCAGTCTGGGGAACTTACTGACTTTAGGGAGACTTGGTCTCAAAATTTATTTTTTTTTCTTTTTTAAAATTTTATTTAAGGAAACACTAAACAAAACAGAAATCAGGTAGAAATATACAAACTTTCAAAGAAAAAATAAATAGAAATCACTAGATGATTACAGATTGTCCTCTTACAAATAGTTTTTAAAGGTACTAAAATGGAGCATATAAACTGGGGATTCAAACAGTGAGACTGCAGCTAGTTCTGTTCAACTATCCAACAAAAACTTAGAAATATGGTTATCAATCCTATACACTTAAACATACATGCAGTTACCCGTATCTTCAATTATGTTGAGACTGAACAAACCCAATCAGGTTATTACCACTCTGAACAAAGAATAATACTATTGCTGAGTTTCACATTATGACACTCCAGATCAGCACTGGGTATTTTAGTGTCTCTTTTTCTTCAAACCATTTGTTCATTTCATCATGTGTCATAAGATCAGTTCTCATAAACTGTTTATAGGTTCTACACATGCATGAGTCCTAAATGTATTTCTATCCTTTCTATATTAGAGGGAGAAACAAAATAAAGCAAGAAAAACAAAACATATCCCTGTAAACACATGAAACAAAAAAGACATATAACACCGTTGTACAAAGAGTTCTACCATAGTTCCTGTGTTGTCTCTTGTTATCTTCAATAGAACTGGGGATATCATCAGACGTAGTATAATTGAATTTATCAGTACATAACAGTATTAATAAAAACACAACTTTGTATATAGTATAAAATTTCAAAAACAGGTAGTGATCAAACCAGAATGTGTATTGTAGTGAGTTTTGCCATCGTCAGTGTAATTTCCTATACTCTCAGACTTGATACTATCATATCAGTTTTTGAATAAAGTCTGTTGATACCAAACAGCAATCAAACAAACCAGATTTAACTAAAATCAGTCATGATAAAATAGTATAAATCATACAGGGCTCCAGATTAAGTTAATAAGAAATTAAAGATGATTACTGTGCTATATCCTGATGTTTTTCGAATAGCTCTCTGTGCCCTCAAATCTAATGCAAGTAGACAAACTGGGACAGAATAAAATCTATCTAAGCAGAGTGGTGCAAGTAGCATGGGTTTTAAATCCTGATATACAATTAATATCTTCTGCCATCTTTTTAAAGACTCTCCCTCCCCTTTCACTTCCCCAGGGTACACTGTGCACTTTTGGGTCTCACCAAGACCCTTGGTTTTAAATTGGAGGGGCAACCTGTTATTCACCTAAGTGGTTCCAAACCTTCTTCCTCCTGGACTTGACCTCTAATTGTATTCCTTTACCTATTAAAGCCTGTCTTTCCAACCTATCCTCAAATAATCATCTAGTTGCCCCTCTTACTCTCTGGTTCTCTGTCACACAGAGCATTGTTTTCTCATATTTGATTTTCAGTCCATGTACTCTTTTTCATGTTAATTTTATTTCCTAAAAATAACATCTCTGTGGACACTACCTCCTGATCTACTCTACGTGTGGTTCTTTTTTTTTAAATTTGGTGTATCAAGGCCATCTATATTACAGATTATAACCAACCTTCTCTGCCTCATTTCTGTTATGCTCTTTTTTTGTCATCAGGTGTCTGCTTGTCTTCTTCATTCTGTTTTCTGCTCCATTCATTGAGGCCTCTCTGCCGTTGTTCCTGGAATCCTAGTACTTTTCTCTCTCTCTAGAATGCCCTGCAGTATTTTCTGTAGAGTTGGATTGGTGGTCGAAAATTTCCCAAGTTCTTCTTTGTCTTGGAAGCATCTTGTTTCTCTATTAATTTCTAGAGACAGATTTTCAGGGTATATCAATCTGGGATGGAGGTTATTTTCTTTCAGGGATTGGAATATTTCACTCCAGGCTCTTCTTGACTTGATGGTTTGTGTTGAGAAGTCTGCCATTATTCTGATGGGCCTTCTTTTATAGGTGATCTGTTTCTTATCTCTAACAGCTTTTAATATTGTTTCTTATATTGAATTTCTGGGATCTTGATTATTATATGCCTGGGTGTGGCTCTCTTTTGGTTGTAGGTGGCTGGAGTTCTGTATGCCTCACACATCTGCATATCATTTCCTTTTCCTATGTTTGGGAAGTTTTCCTTAATTATTTCTGTGAATAGCCTTTATAGTTCCTTTGTTTGTACCCCTGCTTCTTCATTCACATTCTTTATTCTCAAGTTATAGATGCTCTTGTCGTCTTCTAGCCTTTGTATTGTTACTGGTTATTTCCTTGTTACTTTTAAAAAGTTTTTCCTTTCATAATCCCACATTGCAAACCTGTCCTCCAGTTTGGATAGTCTATCCTTAGTTTCTTTCAAGCAGTTTTGCCATCTTCCCATAGAGTTTTAAATTTCCTGATAATCTCTTTGAATCTGCTTCATATATTCTATATTTTCTTTATATTCTTCATCAAATGGTTCTCTCCTTTGTTTGAGTTCCTCCCTTCTTCCATCTGTGTCTTCTTGAGGGGTGCTTAGCATCTCTTTTATGAACCTTCTAATATCTTGCTTTACTTGGTGTCTTAGTTACTTTTTACTCGTTGCTGAGACAAAATACCTGAAGCCCAAATTGGGAAAGGAAAGGTTTATTTCTTACAGTTTTTGGAGGTTTCAGTCCACACTCTGTTGGCTCCAAGACAGGCGGGTATGGCTGGGCAGCAGTTCATGGCAGCTGCAAACAGCAAGCAGGAACCAGCAAAGAGCAAGACACACCTTCTTCCTGCCATTACATCACATCCTGGCTCCACCCCTATGTGGGTGGAGCACTGACACCATCAATCCAAGCACTAGACAATGAACCAATCGCAAATAAACAATGCAAACTCATGAGGCCTGGGGGCCACAGACATAAACCATGATACTTGTCTAAATATTTCCCTTTTGAACTCATCTGTGAGGTCCCAAAGATATCTCTTTATGTCCACTGGTGCCATGTCTGATATTGCATGTTTGCTGTCCTCATTCTCCTTTGTATTTACCTGTCCTGGGTCAATGTTCTCAGGGTTGGGACCTGGGGATTTTTTGTTGTTGCTTCCTCTTCCCATCTTTTTTGTTTCTTCCAGGAGGCCCCAGTTTTTTTCTTTGTTGGTAACAATTCTTTTGAAGCACGTGGGCTAGATGACCCTTCACACTGCCATGTGCTAGTGATTAGCAGACAAGGATAGTATATGCTGGCCCCTGCCCTCCAGGTCAGTCAACCTGCTGAGCCCTTCACTCCATTAGTGTGCACTGCTGCCATAGGGAATTGATTTTGGATAACCTATTGGGTCTCAGCCAGGTCGCATGACCCAAGCAAGCTCACTCCACCAATCCTGTTTGAGAAGGGAACAACTGACTGAAGTCACTGCTGCCCCTTGTTCCTGCCAGTCCTGCCTGGTAACAGAATGTCACTGTTGGAGCCCCCTTCTCTGTGGAATGGTTCTACTCCCGTCACTCACCACAGGTCGATGCAGGCTCCCCACCAGCTCAGCTTTCTGTTAGGCTTGCAGACCCCCAACATCAGTGTGACTGCATTTCCAGTGAGTTGAAGTGGTGGAATTTCAGTCGGCTCGGTAAGTCACCACCACTGGGTTTGGGCATTACAGTGGGAGCATTGAACCTTCAGCTGTTCCAATAATAGCACTGGGACTATATGTTTGAATGGTTCTTCTCACCTTAGTTTCTTCTTGGGACAAGAGAATTTCTCTCCCTCTGTTCAGGACTCCCCATGCTATATTATGTTGAATTCTAAGTTGACTATCTCAGGGAGCCTCTGTAGCCTGCTGTTATCCATTTGCCATCTTTGCTCCTGCTTCTGGTCTCAAAATTTAAAATAAAAATTAAAAAGGGACTGGGGAGGAGGAGAAGAGAGCTCCCAAGATCCAGCCACGGAGGGACTCAGGCAACTTATTCACCTGCCCTCTTGGTAAGTGCCTGCGACATGGGCCAGAAGGAGAAAGAGCTCCTGAGATCCAGCCATGGAGGGACTCAGGAAGCTTATTAACCCGCCCTCTTGGTAAGCCCCTGCAGCTTGGGCCTGGAGGAGAACCATTACCTGTGAGCCTACTGGCACACGGGCTGAAAATCAAGCACCCTTCTCCCGCCTGCCCCCCTCCCCCCATAGCTACTGGGGATAGATGTTTTAACATCTCTTGGAAGGATGACCATATGCAGTATAGCAAATATGGGGGGTTTCCTTCTATCTTCTGTTCTAAGGCATAGTTTGTTTTCAATGTTTTGTTATGTTTCTTTTGCTCTATTCAGTATTCTCAATTGGTTTTAAAATGTTCTATTTTTGGTTTGATTTTACAGTACCTAATTGACTGGACAACTATTGTTAAGTTAAAGAGATACACCACGGTACTTATTGCTACTATCCCAGTATCCTACTGTGAAATCCTGTACCAATGTCACTGCATTGTCTCGATTGGCTTTGTTCTGTCTTGTAGTGCTGCATTTTTACTACTTTCACAATTTAAAAAAATACATGTTAAGACTCATGCATGTGTAGAACCTATAAACAGTTTATGAGAACTGATCTTATGACACATGATGAAATGAACAAATGGTCTGAAGAAAAAGAGACACTAAAATACCCAGTGCTGATCCTGGAGTGTCATAATGTGAAACTCAGCAATAGTATTATTCTTTGGGTTTGTTCAATCTCAACATAATTGAAGATACGGGTAACTGCATGTATTTTTAAGTGTACAGGATTGATAACCACATTTCTAAGCTTTTGTTGGATAGTTGAACAGAACTAGCTGCAGTCTCACTGTTTGAATCCCCACTTTATATGCTCCACTTTAGTATCTTGAATAACTATTTGTAAGAAGATCATCTGTAATCGTCAACTAGTGATTTCTTACTGTTTATTGTTTCCTTTGAAATTATGTATTATTTCTACTCATTTTCTGTTTTGTTTAGTCTTTCTTTAAATTAAATTTTAAAAAGAAGACTCTATAGTACCCAGTGCTGATCACGGAGTGTCATGATGTGAAATCCAGCAATGCTAATTCTTTGTTCAGAATGATTTTAACCTGCTTTAGTTTGTTTAATCTAAACATAAATGAAGATATGGATAACTGCATGTATGTTTAAGTGTATAGGATTGACAACCATGTTACTAAGTTTTTGTTGGACAATTGAACAGAACTGTTTGCAGTCTCTCTGTTTGAGTTCCCACTTTACAAGTTCCATTTTTGTACCTTGAACAACTATTTGTAAAATGACATCAACTAGTGATTTCTTACTGTTTTTTTCTCTGAACATATGTACTATTTCTACCTATTTTCTGTTTTGTTTAGTCTTTCTTTAAATAAAAAAATTTTTTAAAATGTGCTTAAAAAGGGACTGGGAATGTAGCTTGGTGTTAAGACATTGGGTTCAATCCTGGTACAAAAAAAGTCTTTCACCCATTCTCCAAAAGTAAGGTTGAGTGATAACCATTTCTGCTGTCACCTATATATTGATTGCTAATAATAAGCTATACTTAACTAGGAAAACTTTGATTCTTTTTCTCACAGTTTGTTTTCCTTTGCCCAAGATATATAAAGTGGGACGCTAGTTAAAGCAGTACGGATAGACTAACATCATAAGCGCTGCAATAGGAAAAAAAAGATACTTCATGAACTGAGCTTAATTTCCATTAACGCAGAAATGACAGGGCTCAGAAAGTAGAAATTCATGAAAAGCAAGGTTTTCCTCTGTCATCTGAATTTGTTCACTGGTGCTATCTGGAGAAGAATCAAACTTCTACATCTGTAAGTTGTGACAGTGATGTAAGTTACAGCAAGACACACACCCAGCAGGAAAAGTTTTTAATGTTTGCATTTCAAACAGAACAAGATGTTTCTGGGTGGTAGAAAATTACATTTCAAAGAGAAAGGGAAAAAAAGGATTTATAATTGCAAGCTTTCTCAGTTGCTCCTAGAGTGTCATCAGGTTTTTCTCAAACTGTCAGTTCTCCTGGCAGTGTTCATTTTTCTTAGGCAGGTTCTTTTAAGAGGGGTAGGGTCACCCTAAGGGTACAGCCCTGACGTGTTAGAAACAGTGCCAGTGCTTGATCAAGTCTCTTAGTGTGTGGAGGTGGACAAATCATTTGTAGCAAGAGTTTACAGTTTTTATAGAGCAAGATTGTAGACTAGTCAAGAAGAGGGCTCAGAGAGCCTGACTAGAGTTTAGTCAAGGAAAGTCATTGTCACCTGGTGGAAACCTCAGCTCCCAGTGTGGACGGAGACCTGATACCTGGAATTGCTGCTACCTCTGTTGCTGCTCTGGGCTCTCTGAGATAGATGTGTCTGAGAGCAACAGCGTTTCAGGTTTCTGATGTGAGAAAGAAGGCCTCTTCTTGCAGTTGGCATATGAATAGCTTCCCCAATGCTAATATTTAACACTTCCCTTAACATAATTGCAACTTTGTTATAGGAAACAGATAATGTCATACTATAATGTTAGCCTTGTGTGATTTGAACATGGATTGTCCCACCACAATCTCCAGTCTAATACTGTTGAGAGGCTCTGGGTCATAAGGCATGCACCTAATGAAGGGGTTAATGGTATCTGGTGGGAGATTTCTTACCCTCATGGGAGGAGGTTGTGACAGTGAAAGACCTCTGTTCTTCCTTTTCTGAACATACCTGCTCGGCCTTCACTTTCTGCCATGGGTTGAAGAAACAGAGTTCCTCAGCAGAAGTTGAAGCAGATGCTGGTACCATACTCTTGGAGGCTCTCAGCCTCCAAAACCATGAGTCAAAATAAACCTTTTTGTAAATAGCCTCAGCTCTTCTGTTATAGCAGTAGAAAATTGACTGAGACAGTGCAAGTACAACTACAAGTGTGTTTAGAACAAAGAGCTCCTAGTTTTGAATTTTGTCTTTGTACCCTGAGGCCACAGGCCTTGTTCACAATTGCTGTTCCCTGGCCAGGGAGGGGAGGAGATGAAGCACGAAGCTACATGGTGCTGAGACCCTCACCCAGACCCTCCTCTGCTCAGCTGCTTTGCATGGGGAGACCGTGACCCAAGTTATCTCTGCCCTCTTGTCGCTGCTTTGACTCTGTCCGCTTGGTGTTGATCTCTACCATGACCCCTTGACAGTCTGTCACATACCTGTCCTCCTCCATCCTGGCTGAGCGCCTACAGCACACCCTTCTGTAGTCCTCCTCTATCGTTGTCTCGGTCACTTTTCCATCACTGGGACACAGTATATGACTGCCCTACTCTAAAGGAAGAGAGGATCATTTGGTTTGTGGTTTCAGTCCAAGGTAATGGGCTTCAAGGCAGAAAGAGCATGGTGGAAGAAAGTGCTCACATTACAAAGTTGAAGCAAAAAGAGAAGGAAGAATTGGAAAGGAGTGTCCACTCTTCTACATCATGGCCCCAGTGGCCACTTCCAACCAGGCCCCACCTCCTCCTAACAGCATATCCAGCTACTGAGCTCATCAATCAGAGAGTACATAGACTGCACCGTAACAGTACTCCTAGGGCCCCGGCCGGTGACCCCAGTAGACAACCAATCGAAATAATAAAACCTCTGTAAACTGAAGTTTCCTCCTTTACAAATCAAGGAGTCTGACAGTAATGGGGTGGGGGGGAGTCTTCTAAGGTGCCTCCCTGCTCTGACAGTCTGGTATCATGTACCCAAAGTACAGAATGTTTATTTTATTTTTTAATTCACAGATAAAGTTGCATGCATTTATTATATATAACATGATGGTTTAAAGTTTATGTATCCTGTGGAATGCCTAAATCAAGCTAATTAACACAGACATTACCATTCCTCACATACACTGTAGTTACCATTTTTGTACAAAGAACATTTAACATCTACTCTTTTTTTTTTATACAGGTTCTCACTAGGTAGTTTAGGGTAACCTTGAACTTGCTATGGCACCAGCTACCCTCAAACTTGTGGTTTTCTTCCTGCCTTAGCCTCCCAAGTCTTGGGATTACAGACTTGCATGACCACGTCCAGCCTACTCTTAGCAATTTTCAAGAATACAGTACACTGCTACTACCTTGGTCACCATGACGCACGACAGATCTCTTGAGCTGATGACTCCTACGTGAAAATTTCCATCTGTTGACCAACATCTCCCAGTCCCTGCTCCCACGGTACCACGGTACAAAATGGCAGTTATTGTCTGGCTTTTCAACAGGCACCAGCAATGTAGGCACTTTCTGTAACTTCAGTCTCTTCAAACATAAAGGAAAATAAAACAAGTATAAATATAACACGATTGAATGAAAAGAATGAGTTGTTTATAAACCCGTCATAACTTTTTATCATGTTTCTTAAATAACGAGAACTTTTAAAGGTTAATTTCCTTTGAAACTTTAAATGTTAGTTTAAAATATGTTTCTGTCACACCAGCTGTTTCTTAAATATTTGACTTTGCCGGTATGGATTATTTGCCCTTTGCAATGCTTTTTCTGTCTTCAAACCTCCGAGCAAGCTAAATACCAAGGAAACAATAAATGTAACCTTGAGGTTCTGTTCATTTGTCACTTCAGACTGCACTCATAAATTAATAAGAAATATTTCCATGTCAATCCAGTGAGCAAGTGATAAATTTTGAACCTCAGCTTCTGAAAAATACATATGAGTATTTATAAATTGGATTTGTCATATCCAAGCTAATGTTTCATGAGAAAAAAGGGTCAGTAATTTGTAAATCTGCCCTATCTCTTTTCAGTGCCGCTGCTCAGGTCTTTTGCTTTAAGTTTGCTTTTATTGTCACTGTTGACATTGATTTAAATGGCATTTACATTGCATAGAAAATAAAAGAGGTCTTCGGCACAAAATGTCACTCCAATAAGCAAATATAAATCAGTACTATTGAAATGTCATCTGTCTCAGCTGGTCAGCCACATGATGTTTGTGAAAATTCTTAGCAGAGCGAAGAGGACCTTATCCTCTTCTGAGCAGTGACAGCGTTGATTTGTGTGGCCTGTGGACATCTCACAGTACCTGGAGGTCGGGGCTCAGCTCCGTACCTCTCTCTCTTATCAAGGAGACAATTTGAACTGCGTCGCACTGGGGTTCTCGTGGACGGTGGCCTTTGATTCCTCCAGGTGCCTAACTTGACTCCTGTACTTCTCCTGCCAGTCCTGCACAATGTACTGGTGGTAGGGATCGTGGGAATGTTCCCGGTGCTTGGATTTCACGGTGCTCACCAGAATAGCTACCACGATGAAAGAGAACATTCCGATCATCACCATGAGGTACAAGATGACGTAGTAGAAGTTCTCTGCGTCCACTTTGGCCTGCAGAGCCTCCTGTTCCACAGTCTCGTTCCTCCGCCAGTTGTCCATATAAGTAACAAAAATCCCTTTGAAGACATCTTCCAGGGTCTGAGTCAAGTTGGATAAAGTAATCATGTTTTCCTCCTGTTGAAATGCAAACGATAAATAGATGAATGAGATTAAGAAAACAGATCCTTTCTACAGTTGGCTCCCTTGAAAAGGGGGAGGAGGGGGAACAGTAATATTTCTTTTCACTGTGGCTGGTTATTGAGTGTGTATTTTGTTAATCTTTTGACTGATCAGATCCATTTTACTCATTTTTGCATGCATGGTCATGTTGTAAAAAATTTTGATGGAAGATATACTATTTTTTGATAAACATCTACATATACATATATATTATAAAAATGGAAAAAGGACAAAGTAAATAGAGCAAAGTGTTAATGGTGGTATACTTACGGGTATATATTTTTTCATTCTTCAGGGTTTTCTTATGTTCCAAATTCTCACCAGTAATCTTGCATTACTTTTGTTCTTAAAAAGATCAGTAATTCAGAACAAGTGTCCAATGATATCAGTCCAAAGAAGCAAATAGTCATGTGTGAGTAGAGATTGAGACACAGCATTGAGGCAAGAGAGTGTGAGAGGCATCAACCCTTTCCAATTAGTTCTGTCTCCTAGGCTTGGGCAGCTGCTTTTTCCCAAGTATCCTACAGAGATGCATAGATAGCCATACCCTAAAGACGTACTTTAGGTAACTGATACAAAGAAGTAATCTGAACAATCACCTGTACTCCTCAAACCCATCTCTCCTCTCCATCCCCACTGGCACTACCCAGCCATGGCATCTCTCCTTGTAGCTCTCTCTGTCCCATAGCAAGGTGCTCAGCTCATGAGAGAAGTAAGATCATGCCATTCCCTTGCTGTTGAAATGATGCAGTCGCCTCCTCTTGTTCTTAAAATAAAACCTTAATTCCTTAACAGGATTTACCTGGCCTGGCCTGAGCTGGCTCCTGACCCATTTCCCAAATTCCCTCTTGCTTGTAACAATCTGGTTACAGCTGACTTTCCCCTGCAGCTAGGTACACTTGCTTAATCCAGGGTATTTGCATATTGTCTCTACTCTACCTGCATTATTTCTGCTGTGATCTTCCCACCTGCCTGTTCTTTAGGCCCTCTCTTAATTGTCACCTTTCTTGAACATGTGTGATTCATTCCCTTTATAAAATGTGACACTTCAAATCTCCCTATCTGGAAAATAATTAAAAATAAACTTCCAGGTATTAATCCCATAGAATGTATCTTCCCGAATTTTCCTCATTAAAAATCACCATAACTAAGATATTTTCTCCACCTGACATTTTAACTTCTGTTCTTCAGATAACCCTAAAGTTCTTTCATCTCTTCAACAGCAGGTTGGAAGAAAATTTAACAAATGCTACAAGGTACACACCAAACACATTTTCCAAAAAAAAGTGGAGATGTGCTCCCCACACCCCTTCATTTTGGTCCTGAGCATTGAGAGAACCCAGAGCCTTTTCTCTAAGCTACACTTCCAGCATTTTTTTTTAAATATAGAGACAAGGTCTTGCTGAAAATGCCATGGGGTAGGATTATTTCACACATGTGCCCTTTTGCTTTATTTTTTCCCCAACCCTTCTTTATGACTTCTTTCAAAAAAGAACACTGTGACTTTGCTCCCTTATCTGTTTTCTCTGCCATTCCTCTAGAACGAATTCCATTTTCTTTTGGGTAACCAAATTGAGAAAATGAGTAGAATATAGAAACACACACACACACACAGCCAGTAGGGCTAAGTTTCCTTAACAGAGGGCTGGTGATGAATACAGAAAGATTCTTGAGCTGGGGACTGAGAAGAGGCCATGTGTGAAAAGGTCTTGGGTAACTGGGCTGAGGAGGAAAAATCTGGGGTGGGGAAGATGAGGGCTTCGTTTAGGTTGAGGCACCCACTTGTAGAATTCTTTCTGAGATGCTTCAAGGGTACAGTTGCTCTAGGTGCTTTAGTTACTGGACCACTACTGATGCACCAGGCAGTGAGACCCTGATTTTGTGTCTGGGTCCCCGAATGAGTAGAGATCTACAAACTCCTGAGTGATCTGATCTCTTCTGTCCATCCTGTGTCCCCAGTTCAAGCGGAGCACCCCTAACCCTAAAACCTGAGGTCTGAAATGGGAAATCCAAATTGGGAATTTGCTAACCCCCAAATGATGCCCACAGTGGGAAATTTCACACCTGACTTCCTGAGATGGGGCACAGTCAGAAATCTCAATGCACTGAAAATATTGTATAGCATTCCTTTCAGGTCATGTGCATAATAAACATGAATGAATTTCATGCTTAATCTTGCAACCCATTGTATTCCTCAGTATGTATATGCAAATATTTGAATTTGTTTTTAAAAACTGAAACTTTGAAACACTTCAGATTCCAAGCATTTCAGACAAGAGATGCTCAGCCCACCTCTCTGAGGACTGGTTGCATCAGTTACTCTGTAACCAAAAGACGTGAAAGCCCCATTGTTACAAGGGAAGGGCAATAGGAAAGGCCATCTTCACTGTCAGCATGATTCTGTGAGCAATTTCATCAAAGTATCTCATCAGCTTTTCGCCACATATGAGAAATTGAGACAGGTGCTTGGCTTCTATGAGGGAACAGGGCATAGCTGAGGTGGGTTTTGAAGTTCAGCAAGGATATGCAAGGACAATGCCCCTGGAGAAGCCTTCAGATTGCGGAACTGAAATGGAAATGGGTCACTTAATAAGCATTGAGGAGATGGTGCTGGAAGGAAGAGGAACTGCAAACTCACCTTGGTCTTTTGCCTGTCTGGTCCCAGGTTGCTGTGCGTAAGGAGAATTCCCTTGTTTTTGCTAACTCCAGGAGAGATAGTTTTAGAAACTCACATGAGTCATCTTTTTTCTCCCCAGACTTTTCCTGAGCTTCTCACATCTAGCAGAGACTCCTTTCTTACGCTTTTTTTCTTTTTGCAAACTGCCATTTAAAAAGAAATCAACTACTCAATTTTTTGTGTTTATTCATGTGACATGTACAGAAAAAAAACACTCTTCAAGATCAGAATTGCAACCCTTGGTTCCTGAGGCACCTCGGCCCGTGCCCAGCCGCGCCTGGCCATCGGTGTGCGGAGGAGGAGCTGCGCGGATCCGGAGCGCCTGCAGAGGCCCCTTCCTTTGTCTGGAGGAGGAGGGGTCCCAGGTTCCTGAGGCACCTCGGCCCGTGCCCAGCCGCACCTGGCCATCGGTGTGTGGAGGAGGAGCTGCGTGGATCCGGAGCCGCCTGCAGAGGCCCCTTCCTTTGTATGGAGGAGGAGGGGTCCCGGGTTCCTGAGGCACCTCGGCCTGTGCCCAGCCGCACCTGGCCATCGATGTGCGGAGGAGGAGCTGCGCGGATCCGGAGCCGCCTGCAGAGGCCCCTTCCTTTGTATGGAGGAGGAGGGGTCCCGGGTTCCTGAGGCACCTCGGCCTGTGCCCAGCCGCACCTGGCCATCGGTGTGCGGAGGAGGAGCTGCGCGGATCCGGAGCCGCCTGCAGAGGCCCCTTCCTTTGTCTGGAGGAGGAGGGGTCCTGGGTTCCTGAGGCACCTCGGCCCGTGCCCAGCCGCGCCTGGCCATCGGTGTGCGGAGGAGGAGCTGCGCGGATCCGGAGCGCCTGCAGAGGCCCCTTCCTTTGTCTGGAGGAGGAGGGGTCCCGGGTTCCTGAGGCACCTCGGCCTGAGCCCAGCCGCGCATAGCCATCTGCGTGCAGAGGAGGAGCTGGGTAGATCCGGAGTGCCCGCAGGAGGCCCTTCCTTTGTCTGGAGGTTTGTGGATATCTCTGCAAGCAGGGAGGGATCACAGGCTCCTGAGGCACTGCGGTCTGTGGTGAGTACCCTAACCCGGCTGCGATTCAAGAGCTGTGGATCTACCAAGGGGCAGGTGGGCGCACAGTGTCCCTGAGGCCCAGCTTGTCTGGAAGCGCGGAGTTCTGAACAAGCAGAGAAGGGCCATTGGTTCTGCAGGCCCAATGGCCTGGGGTAGAGTGGTGCCAGAGTCTCAGTAGCTGCAAACATAGAAGGGGATTTTCAACAGATCCTGAGGAGGCTTTCAAATAACACTTGAAACACAGAAATATAGGAAAATGACAAAACGAAAGACCAAATTACAACCTCAAACCTCCAGCCCATCTCAGGAAACCCTAGGAGAAGTGTATTTAGAAGAAAATATATCCCATCCTCCTCATATATTAGACACAATAGCTACTGAAGTTGACAAGCAACTCCAGGAAGCTTTAAAGAAATTCAAACTCGAAATAATATCCCAGATAAAAGAAGAAATGATAAAAGAAATGAAAGAGATTCTAAATATATCTAAAGAAAACACAGATAAAAAATTGGAGGAATTAAACAAAAAGATAGAATCCCTAGAAGAGCAATATAAGAAACAAACAGAATACATAATGCAGATGCACAGAGATATACAGGAAATAAAAAACTCCACTGAAAGTTGTAAAAACCGCCTTAATGAAAGTGAAGATAGAATTTCAGACCTTGAAGACAGGATTGCAGCAAGTGAACAGGAAAGGAAAGATCTTTTAAAAATAACAAGGAATCAGGAAACAACAATTCAACAACTGCAAGATGATGCAAAGAAGAATAACATAAGAATGATAGGGATTAATGAAAAAGAAGGAGACAACATAAAGGATATCAAGAGGATATTTAGAGAAGCAATAGCTGAAAACTTCCCAAGCATGAGATCAGAAACTGACATCAGGATCAGTGAAGCATATAGAACTCCAAATAGTCATAACCAAAATAAAACTACACCCAGACATATAATAATCACCATCCCAGAAATCCAACACAAGAATAGATTATTAAAAGCTGTCAGAGAGAAAAGACAGATCACTTATAAAGGAAAACCTATCAGAATCACAGCAGACTTCTCATCACAAACAATAAAGTCAAGAAGAGCATGGAGTGAAGTATTCCAGATCCTAAAGCAAAATGATTTCCAACCTAGACTGATATATCCTGCAAAACTATCATTTAAAATAGATGGTGAAATACGATACTTCCATGACAAAGAACAGCTGAAGAACTTCATGAACACCAAACCAACCCTGCAAAAAATATTGAAAGACATTTTAGATACACAAAGGAAAAAACCACTAAGCAAAGCAAATAATTAAACAGAACAGAAAGATAAAGATGCAACAGCAGAGAGATAAGAATCCTACAATTAAACAACATTTAACAGTAATAACCATTAATGTAAATGGTCTCAATGCACCAATCAAAAGAAACAGACTAGCAGAATGGATCAAGAAACAAAATCCAACCATATGCTGTTTACAGGAAACCCATCTACCCAGAAGGATACTCACAGACTGAAAGTCAAAGGATGGAAAACAATGCAGCAGGAATCCAAAAAAAAAAAAAAAAAAAAACAGGAGTAGCCCTCCTGTTTGCAGACAACATGAACTTTAAACCAACAATGACCATAAAGGACAAAGAAGGTCACTACATACTCATTAGGGGAAAACTCCAAAAGGAAGAGATAACTATCTTAAATATATACGCACCAAACTCCAGAGCGCCCAGTTATATAAAACAATTATTAACAGAAATGAAAACTCAAATTATCAGTAACACAATTGTAACGGGAGACCTTAATACGCCATTGACACCAAGGGACAGATCGACCAGACAGAAAATGAGTAAAGAAATAACAGAACTGAATCATACCTGTGAACAAATGGGTTTGATAGACATATACAGAATGTTCCACCCAACAACATCAGAATACACATTCTTCTCAGCAGTACATGGATCATTTTCTAAAATAGACCATATATTAGCTCATAGAACATATTTAAACAAGTGCAAAAGAGCTGAAATCATCCCTTGCATGTTATCGGATCACAGCGCTCT